TATATATATATATATATATATATATATATATATATATGCCGGTCACTTCTGAGTATCCAAAAAAAATCCATCTTAATACCACACTTTGTTTGCTAAAGGGCTATTTTAAAGTTTTTTTTTCACTAAAAAGGTACAAAATGTCTCTTTAATCATTAACTTGATTCTATACTCCGACCATGAACACATTCAGAGCAACGAAGGCATTGGATAATTTTAGCTTTAGCAGGCAAAACAGCCATTTTCATTTCCAATCAATCTGAAAGACACATCGGTAAGAGTTTATAAGCCTGGCACAATTATTATACAGTTATACTAATGCAACAATTATTTATTTCTACTAATTAGAATATGGAACAGAGTTTGGCAAACAAAAATGTTTTTATATGCTCGATCTTTGCTTTTTCCTTCTTATCCAGGCCTGGAAAAACATTGAAAAAATGTTCAGCTTCCAGCCTTTATTATGGGAATACATTAACTCCCTGAATTGGAAACCTAAACTCTAGAAGGAGGGGGAAAAAAAGGAGGAGAAAAATATAGTCCTTCAGGCAATAGCTTTGCTACCTTTGTGTAATCATTCCAAGTCTGCAGACGAAATGCTACTGTATGTATAAACATACATTCAGTAGGTAGGATCTGTTTAATGTCATAAAACTCTAAATTATGCTCTTTTTTTTTTTTTTTCTTTCTGGTTTCACCAGAAACATAAACAACTCCTCTCTTACCTCCTCCAAGCTCAGGATCGCCATCTCCTTCTTCGAACACCTCATCATCATCATCATCCTCCTGGGCGGTGGTGCATCGGTAGCCCCTCCTTTTCAGGACGTGGCAGATCACCACCCCGGCTAGACCCAGAAGGAAGAAGGCCAGCACTAAAGCAAAGGCTAAAAACTGAGTGTGTCCACCGTTCCCAGAAGGTGTGGGGCTCACTGTGAATGAGACAGATACAGGTACAGATCAGTCCAGAGCTGGGAGCTGAGATCTAGGCTAAACATGCAGAATAAATCGTACAAGAGTTTTTTTTTGCTTTTTGTTTTAGTTTCCAAACCTTAATAGCTCAGAGCAGAAGAACCAACCAGTGCTTTCAAACCAGCCCACAGGAAGCAGGGATGTTTATGCAGTTAAAACCATGTTTACATAAATGAGAGGATTGTTCCCCCGTCACAGTCAGACATTTAAGCAGACTAAATTCTCCTTTTTTTAGGTCGGTTAGGACTGAAGAGCCAAATAATGAAAATATGAAACCAAAAAATGTTTTAAAAAATGTAATCTATTGTCCAAATATGCATATATGTAAACACATTGCGAATTAAATAACTTAAAATCCCTTAGTGACCCAATTATATAATATTCTTTGAATTCATTATTGCCCCATAAAAAAAAAAATTAAAAAAGGAAAAAAAAAAAAAACTCATAATTCATCCATTTTTTTTTTTTTTTTTTTATCCTCGCTAATTCTACTTTATTCTTTAGGCAATAAATCTAAATAGTTATGACTAGAAATCGATCATAATAAACAATACAATAAAAGCCCGATTATTACGATTACGATTATTTTAATCGTAATTAATACCTAAATACATAAATATCAACTTCTAAAAACATCTACTGGTTATATTGTTTTATTATAACTGTCAAACACATATTGTCACATGTTCTTAAAAGGTACAGAGGAGGATGTTCTTTTTCCAGTGGATCATCAAAATAATTGGTCCTCCTAAATGTCAATCATTCTGGTGATGTTTACATACGGCCGTCCTACGCGCTCGTCCCCATTTTTGCTTACCGTTGGAGAGTGCTACATAGTGGAAAAATTGGAAATCTTTTGGAAAGTAAGTTTGTATGAGTGATGCAAACAGCAACTTTTAAACAGAGCATGCATGAGGAGAAATGTGCTTGTGCACGCCTTTAATAGGTGTTCCCGCTCGGGAGCGGGTACAGGGTTGTGCAAGTGCATTTTTTCTTTAAAGTGGAGATCAGGGTCTTATAAAAAACTCGTGAAAATCCTCCACTTTACCTTTAAATATACTGAAAATAAATGTTTTTCCTCACCTGACCCACCACACACACCTAAATGGTAGAGATGAGTGTCCAATATTTAAGATCTGGAGTCCTTTTTTATTAATCGGTTAATAAATACCGTATAAAGATAACAGATAACTGCTATAGAATCTCCACCTCATAAACTCACATTGTGGCTGGAGGACTTGTTTTTAGCACTTATGCTTTAGACCATCTTGTTATGCTTTGAAGACCAAGTTCAGAACATTCAACTTTTTTAAAAAGATGCACACTGATATAAAACATATTTCTATCTTAATAAAGAAGCCCAAACAAAGAAACTTTAAACCGTTTGCTTTCTTTTCATAGCGTGTTAAAAAAAAAAAAAAGACCCCTGTCCAAACGTGGCAGACTATTTTGAATTGTCTTGATCAGTTCAAGCACCAAGGTGTTGTTTGCAATCTGCGGTCAGCTAGAGGTGAACATTCCCATAACCTTTAATGTGTAAGCGTCACATGAGCCAGACCATCACAACACACAAGAGGGCTTTTGTCAGCATTCCTGTCCACACCAGTGGACGGCAAGCGCAGTAAAGAAGAAAAAAGGCCAGAAACAAAGACAAGGCCGGCAGTCAGAGCTCAATCAATTATTCCAACATTCCGACTCTGTCCTTTCATTTTCAAGACGCGCCACGGCTCAACGTTTAGGTAATATGCTGTTCCAACCATGTGCCCTCTGATGCAGCTGAGCCATTCCTTTGTCCCGGCCTCCGACTAAACACACTGAACATTGTCTGCTTACTGACCGCCTTGTGACCACATGTCCGTGTGCTTATGTCAAGAAACGATTAAGGAAACTCTAGTTCGAAGAATGTTCTTGCAATTCTCTAAACAACAACTAACCGGTTAGAGCAATTAAACCCAGATCACAGAATGGGACGCTGTTCTAGAAGGCTCATCATATACTTAAAGAAAGCTAGAGAGGGGACATCACCACCATGTGTCCCTAATCTGATCATAAGGTTTGATGTTTAAAAAGTTTAGATCGGTAAAGCTGAGAACTTCATTGAGAAAATAATACATCAAATGTTTCTTTACCAGCTTGTATTGACACTAATTCCAGTAAAATAATCAAAGGAAGTATTAAAATATGGAAACACATTTAAAATAAACCCATTTTAAAGGTTTTTATCTTTTCTTTTTTTTTTAACCCTCAAAAAAGTTGGCATTGCTAATGGGTCAAATGACTATATTACTGAACAGAGTGCAAAAAAAAGCAAGAAAATACAGTTTATAAAATACCAAATTGTAGAGATAACTGCAGATGAAACTAGAGATGACCGATACAGCAGCAGGTCGATTGTTCTGGCCTATTTTAATGTTTGTATATAAATATGTGCATGTGAGCATTAGAGCAATCAGCAGCCATGCATCAAGGTCTACACCGGTAATGTTTTCTTTGATATATTAATGAAAGTAGGGCTGAAACAATTAATTGGATTAATCGTGATTAACCAGTTATTGAATTAATCGACAGCTAATTCAGTAATCGATAAAGCGTTAACTGGCATTTCGAGACTCTAAAAGTTGCCTTTAACCATTTGCATTTCAGATTTTTAAAATGTTTTTTGGAAAAGTTTTAGTTTCACCCGGTTTGATTTAGCTAAGTCTTCTTTAGGGAACCTTTTGGTATCCGATTAATCGAAAAAAGTAAAAATCGACAGATTAATTGATTTGCAAAATAATCGCCAGTTGCAGCCCTAGATAAAAGTCTCATTTAGTTTGAAATTAGACTTCTTTAAGATTTGTTATTATCTTTTCATTTCATTTTACATCTAAACAGAAGAAGAGGTATTGGCTTCAACCCCTCCACATCTAAGGCATTGATTAAACTGATATTAAAATCATCAATATGACTGTCAGCCTTAAAAAAAGGGGGGGGGGAAAGTGCATTGGTTGATTTCTAGATAAAACGATAAGCGATGATTGCTGTTGCAAGGCAGACATTTGAAGATAATCATCATCTGTTGTTATTAATGCTATTAAATTAGGCTGTCCCAATCCAATATCAATATCAGATATGAGTCCAATATCAGATATCATTATATTGGCCAGCAACTAACTTCTCCCATGTTGGAACGCCAATAGAAACCATCTGCTTCTGTTTAAAGTCTCTGTAACCCATTGGTTAATACTGTACAAAATAAGTAATAAAAGTATGTAAAATTCATGCTGACATGCTATAGGGTCAATACGTGTATCAGACAAAGCTGCACAACAAGTATTATTTGGAAAATAAAAAAGCTCCATCTGGACATCTCTGCCATCCAGTTTATCTTCTCTGTTTTGTTTTTCTCTCCATAGAAACAAACTACATCAATATTTATGTGTCCAGCTGGGTCACCTTCTTGGAAGGGGCTCCATCAGCCATAATTTAATTTCCTTACTTAATATGTGATGAACCATTTAATCTGGTCTCTCTACTAACTAAATCCATGTTGGCTCAGATGTCAAGAACAGAGCTACTGCTGCGATTAGCCGTATGAAGCCGCGCTGATACCAGCTGTTGCAAAACTACAGGTAATTAAGCTTGCTGTCCACCATGACAGCCCGGAGCTCATTCAGAAGCAGCCTGAAGGTTATTCAGTCCATCAGCTTCACTCATATGATTGGAAGGCAACACTATAGCCCAAATGAAGCTTTTACAGAGAGGAATGACATACATGTAAGTTTTTTTTCCCCCCTCATGTGTAAGCATGCTGATACATGTCGCCCAGATCCAAAATCCTTTTCATGCCGGAATTTGTTCAAGCTAAAGTCAGCAGAAAAGATCGTGGGAGAACAAACGTCTCAATCCTGCCAGTTTGGGTTTGTCGGCCACAGGAAAATATCTTTTTTATTCTTCTGTCAAGGATTTGGGGTATTAGGAGCCATGTCTCTACTGGTAGCAGCCTGAGGCCTGGTGCAAAGGAGAACGGTGCATTAAAGATTGGTTTGCATTATCTCTGTCAGTTAACCCGTCTGCATGTAGAAATGAAAAAAAACAAAACTATAATTTCGCCCCCACGGCGAAATTACAATGGCAGGTGGTATGCTCTGTAAAAACAACAAAAAACGTGCGTACAAAGACTCGCTGCTTCACTTCCACTGACTCCTGCCTCAAATACAACATCGATGATTCCCAGTCCTTCGCCTCTAAAACATGTAATGTTAGCGTAAACAAACATGAGAAATGAGACAAAAAACTTTTTACTTGATTTTTAAAAAAACTAAAATATTCAAACAGGGTCTAAGGTTATATAAAGACAATGATGCATTCGGTAATGTGTGACTCACGTTCCTGTATTTACTACTCCTCCATGTAGTCTTACTACCACACACTTTATTGTGTTGCACCGTGACAAATAGTGCATAATTCAAAGGAGAGTTTCTTTTCAGAGACATTGAAAAGGCTTTATGATGTGCACGTCATCCATAAAACATCAACATAGTGTTAGTGGCACCTTAAGCTTGAAAAATGCTTGAAAGAATTGTGATCCTTCCATTCTATTTTATCTTTTTAAAAGACCGTCTACATTAGGGCTACAATTAACAACTACTTTATTTTTCTAATTGATTAATCTGTCGATTATTATATATATATATTTTTTTTTTTTTTTATTAGAAGATTAAGACGATTTTTTAAATAATTTAACCAGGTGAAACTTAAACTTGGTGCAGTTTGGGTAAAGCATATAATAAAATATGTATATATATATTTTTTTATTTTGGCAAAATTACTACTCTAAGTGGGTCGCTCTGTCAGCTAAAGGCATGTTTTAGAGTCTCTATACTTAATGATTAATTAAATACTAAATTAGTTCTTAATTATTTTAATTCATTAATCCGATTAATTGTTTCAGCCCTACACTGCAAAAACGATCCAGAAA